TCATGAAGCAACTGTATTTGGAGATGGGGCCTTTACAGAGGTGATTAAAGTAAATGAGGCCATTAGGGTGGGCCTCATCCAATTGAATGGTATCCTGATGAGAAGAGGAGATTAGGACACAGACATACAGAGGGGCAATCATGTGAGGACAGAGGAGAAGGCAGTCATCCACACACCAAGGAGAGAGGCCTCAGGAGGAACCAACTCTGCCGACACTTGATCTCAGAATTTCAGCCTCCAGAGCTGCAAGAAAATACACTTCTCTTGTTTACGCCACCCAGTGTGTGGTACTTTGTCATGGCAGCCATAGCAAACTAACACATCTGTCTTGCTCACTACTGTACCACCAGAGTTTAAAACCATGCCTAGCACACAGCAGAGGTTCGACAAACGGCTCCTGAATGAAGAATGGCTCCATGAGTAGGCTAGTATCAGAACTAAAAGAGTTAATCTAGGCAAGACGCCTAGAACAGTAACACACTGTATACAGCAGGTGCTCAATAGCACCAGCTATTGATGCTGACACCCGCAGGTCTTTGGCTTTCGCTAGCACACTGAGCCTCCCCCCACCTCTGAACTAAACCATTGTTCCACCTCCCCAAGGGAAGGCCTCAACCCACTGGCTGGTCCCTCTATGGGCCCCGGGTGTCTTTCTGGGACCTGGGCTCAGGCCAGTCTCCTCTGCCCATGGGCCACCTTCGATGGGGAGTAATTTGGGGCAGTGGTTGAATTTGGGCTCAGGAGCTGGGCAACCTGGGACAAAATCCCAGCTCTGCCCCTCCCCAGGTGTTTCCCTGGATAACTGTCCTTCCCTTTCGGGGCCTGGTTTGTGAAATGGGCTTCACGATGACAGTGTCCCCTGCACAGCTGTCACGGAGGTTAAATGAAGCGGTATAGAACTGGTGCCAGCACAGCCATGGACGGAGGACGCTCCCAGTAAATGTCAGCTGTTACCATGATTATTTGATTAACTTTGCTGTTTAACATATGTCTTATGCATGATTATTGATACTTCTAATTATTGTATGATAGCATTTGACTATTTGGTTCAATATATCCTTCAACCAGTCTAGCTAATAATTCCTTCTTTTTAATATTATTTAAATCACTTGACTGAGGAATGACTCACACACAAAACTGTACACATTTAACGCACACAGCTTGATGAGTTTGGGGATGGGCAATGGGCATACACCCATGACACCATCACCACCTCAAGGCCATAAACTCATTGCCTCCAAAAGTTCCCTCCCACTGCCTTCACTTTTTTTTTTACAAAATTTTAACGTATCAATTTCTTCTGAAAGTCTTCTCTAAGTATGCCCCTCCTAACTCACTCAAATAACACTCACTGAGCAGGCTCCGGGCACCACGCCCTGGCTGGCACCAGCAACACAGCAGAGAGCCCATCCTCTTGGGCCAGAAGTGCCACAGCAAAGGACCTCTCTGAGTCTCTGCGTGTGCATGTCTGAGGTCACTTGTTCTAGTGCCTCATCTCTTTTGGTTTGGTTTCCCATCTGATAACAAACTATTTTAGCACCAAAAAACCCCCCCCAAAAAACCTCTACAGAGCTGAAATTCTAAAAAGATGACACCAGGCAGGCTCGATTGTTTTAAAAATCAGAATGTAATTACACCAGAAGTGACTTTTTTTGAACTGGAGTCTAACGCTGTCACCCAGGCTGGAGCACCGTGGCATGCTCACAGTCATCCCAGTGTCAACCAGCTGGGCTCCGGCGAGTCCTCCGCCTCAGCCTTCCAAGCAGTCAAAACTACAGTCACACACTACCATGCCCAGCTAATTTTTTGATTTATTGTAGCGACAAGGTCTCACCATGTTGCCCAGGCTGGTCTCGAAGGAAGTGACTTTTAAAAACCAAACAAACCAAAAATCTCAACCATGCCGCAATAAAAACTATCAACAAATCCTTCTAATAATGTAGGTAAAAGAACTCAAGAATCACAGATGAGTTAAAATGAAGATACCATGGTGCAATCCCTTTGGAAAACAGAGTTAACAATATGACCCAACATTCCACTTCTAGGTATACACCCAAGAGAATGAGATCATATGTTCAAACTTAAGTTTGTACACAAATGTTCACAGAAGATTTGTGAAGATCATTATTCATAATGATCAAAAAGTGGAGACAACCCAAATGTTCGTCAACTGATGAATGGATAATTAAATGTGGTATATAACCTTACAGTGGGCTATTACTCAGCCACACAGGAATGGGTTTCTGTACATGGTACCACATAGTTGTACTTTGTAAACATAATGCTCAACAAAAGAAGTCAGTCACAGAAGACCACATATTGTGTGATTCCATTCACATGAAACGTCCAGAAGAGGCAAATCCATAAAGGCAGAAAGGAAATGAGTGGTTGCCAGGGGCCGGGGATTCATGGGGGAAATGGGTGTGAAGGTTAACAAGTACAAGGTTCCTTTTGGGGATGATGAAAATGTGCTGAAACTGACTGTGGCGATGGTTGCACAATTCTGTGAGTGTACCAAAAACCAGTGAACCATGTACTTGGTGGCACATAACATGTATCTCAACAAAGGTATCAAATAAAGGAAGACACAAGGAACCAAAACTCCCAAATAAGTCAACTGACATGTTGACACAGCAAATTAAGTTCCAGGTAGATTCCAAAGTTCACTGTTAACATTCAAGTGCTAACTGGTAAAAAAGGCAGAAAATCCAGGTGCTACGTGAACTATGGAGAGAGAAACCCCTTCACAGCTTAAAGATGAAGGAAGACACTGCAGTGGGAGTAACCAACAGATTTGATTTTAAAAATATGAGATGTTTCTGTACTGAAAGAAAAAGTAGATAAAGTAGGAAACAAAAAGCAAACCTGGAAAGAATATCTGCCACAAATGTTTACACACAGACATTTACTTCTGTAAAACCTTTGAAAATACCACAAATCCTGGAGACTGGTAGAGCAGGGAAGGCACCATTTACCTGTCTGCAAAAACGACTAAATTCCCTGTGACTTGAACCTCACTAGCAACACAAACAGTGCTACTCAGAAAGAGACCACGTGACATCACCTGCCAACTATCGTGTTCCAAGGTTTATACTATTTATCATGTATAGCCAACGTACAGAGTAAACCCCTGACAATGGCCAGCAGAGGCCCTCTCCGACACACTGGGGGAAATACACATTGCCCACAACCAACTTGAAAAGTAACGTGAAAGGCCTATAAACATACAGCTCAGGTCAGGCGTGGTAGCTCATGCCCATAATCCAAGCATTTTGGGAGGCCAAGGTGGAAAAATCACTGGAGCCAAAGAGCTCGAAACCTCATCTCTACAAAAAAACACCAAAAAAATTAGCCAGGCATGCTAGTGCCTGTAGTCCCAGCTACTCAGGAGGTTAAGATGGGAGGATCACCTGAGTTCAGGAGGTTGAGGCTGCAGTGAACCATGATCATGCCACTGTACTCTAGCCTGGGTAGCAGAGTGAGACCCTGTTTCAAAAAAAAAAATCTAACCCAATACTCCTCTTAAGAAATCACTCCTAAAGAAATCAAATAAAACGCAGGGAAAGATGTATGCCCAGCCACGTCCCTCATGACATTTTATAACCATGAATACCTGGAAACTAATGCATGTCCAGCAACAAAGAAACCATTACATAAACCAGGTACTGCCGCTAGTTAAAACTTTTATGCAGTCATTAAAATGCACGTTATTGAGGAGTTTTTAATAATGTGGAGAAATGCTCAGGATGAAATATTTGATGAAAAAGTAATCTTTGATATAAAAATTGTTTAGCCAGAGTGATCCTTATTTTTACAAAACAATATGCATATCCAAGGAGGAAAAGATACTCAAACGTTCCAGGATAAGATAAGATCATGGGTGAGTTTGATTCTCTCAGCCATATTTTTCTGGACTTTCTAAGATTTTTATAATGACCATGCATTTCCTTACCTATAAGGAATTTTCTTTTACTTTTATGACATATTATTCACAGCAAAAAATATATGTAAAAAAAAAAAAAAAAAAAGATCAAACTCACCAATACTGAGCGGAGAGTTAGGTAGACTGATTATGCAGCCAAAACAAGTGATGTCTGTAAAGTGTTCAAGGCGGAGGAAATCCCGACTGTATAAATTTGGGAAAAAACCTCTGGATGAATATGGCAGAGCCAATTCTTATTCAACTTTAAAGGTAATCATTAGAGAAGGAGGACAATAAACAGATACATAAATATCTACGTGGTTATCGTCGGGTAGTGGGCCTGAGGATGAATTATAGTCTTACCTGTCGCTTACTGGATTCTGCCAGTTTCCTATAATAAGCATTTACATATAAGTATATATATGTATGTATCATTACATATAATACATTTATATATATGTATTTATTATAAAATATTTCTGGCCAAAAAAAGACTAGAGAAAATTATGACAGACAGCCACACATGCATCACCCAGCTAAAGGCACAAAACTTCACGACCAGAACTGAAGACACGCCTGTGCCCCACAAAAGCATCTTCCTCCCTCTCTGGGGTAGCCTGTCTTAATATCCCCACACATTTTTCTACTTTCGCCACACATGAGGGTGTTTGTCTGAACACTTAGTGCAGTTTGCCCATTTCTATAGGCCACCTATCCAGCATGGTCCTGCTCGAGTCCTTTTCAATCAATGTCACATGTTTAAGCCATCACTTCCCAGGGGCCAGCCTGTGTCTCCTGAGAGCCCCGGGGCCAGGCCTGGCCACTCCCAAACTGCCCTGTCTGCCACGGCTGACTGTGCAGGCAAGGTCAAGGATAAGAAAGGGGCTGTCGGGCCCACAGGATGTAGGCCAGAGGGGCAGCCTCTTCTGTGGGCATTGCCCTCTTCATCAGGATGGACATAGCCCCCAGGAGAGGGGGTTGGGGGCAGGGGCCTTGGAAGGGCTCAAGAGGCCACAGGCTCACCCGAAGGCAGGAGCCCAGCCTTTGGAAAGGTGGGTGAGAGAGCAGCATGACTCACCAGGGCCTCGTCAGTCAGCAGCTGAGTGGCCATCCCTCTGCTGCCCACGGCCACCGAGGATGGGAGGACGGGCTGTAGGTGAGGAGAGAGGAAGGCACAGTGAGAGGCCAGGCCTAGGCCCGATTCATAAATGCAGAGGGACCAAACACACACCCACTGAGAGACAGGCAGAGAGACGGAGGGAGACAGGGAAAGAGGACACACACACACACACACACACACACACACCCCAACACCCCAACAGCAAACACCTACGAGGTTTACTGCATACAAGCCACTTGATGAATGTATTTCACCTGATGCTCCCAACACCTGGAAGGTGGGCACTACTTCTACCCACCCCATTTCACAGATGAGAAGACTGAGACCCAAGGAGATAAGTCACTCGCCCAAGATTACAAAGCAGGGACTGCAGTGGGTAGGGCATGTCTAGGTCCACATGCTTAACCACCAGGCAACACTGCCTCCCAGATGCACACCCATGCACACTCCTACAGATACTCCCAACACACACACTCACAAGTTCCCACAGGGTGCTGGCGGCCATGTGACAGCCACGATCCACTTCTTGGGTCTGAGCTGGACTGAACCCCCCTCCACCTTCTCCACGCCCAATGAAACGCAGTCACCACCTCCAGCCCCTTTGGGCACTTCCCCTAGACTCCATAAGGTTCAGCCAACAGGTGCATGAAAGGCACTTGGAGCCCAGTACATGGTAAGAACTCAACAAACATCTACAGTTACTATTGCTGCTGATGTCAACCGAGTGTGCCCCAAAGAGAGGGACGCAGCCATCCGGGGCTCTCCAGGCAGACTCACCCAGGGGAATGTATCTGCTTGGATTTTCTTCCAATTCTCCTGACATGCTCAGGGCAATCTTAGTGGCCACTAGCATATCTCAAAATCTTCTCCCGCGCTGCCCCCCCCCGCCACGCCCCTACTTTCTCTTTTGAAAAAAATAAACAAAGGGTTCAGGCCCAAACTTAGGACAACCATAACATCTCATTACAATGACCTGGCTTTGCTTTCATTCATTTTAATAATTGTTTCCCTTTTTCCAGGAATGCTGAGCTTCTATTTACAGTAGTCACAAAGAATACTCTTTTTTTGAGTTGGAGTCTCAATCTGTCGCCCAGACTGGAGTGCAGTGGCCACTCCCGGCCACCACAGCCTCGATCCTGGGCTCCGGCGATCCTTCCGCCTCAGCCTTACAAGTAGCTGGAATTACAGGCATACGCTACCACACCTGGCTGATTTTTTGATTTATTGTAGAGATGAGGTCTCGCTGCCCAGGCGGGTCTCAAACCCGCGGGCTCAGGCAATCCACTCACCTCAGCCTCCCTAAGGCATGGGATTACAGGCTGAGCCACCGAGCCTGGCTAAGAATACTCTTTTAAACTATAAAGTTTCAAATTTTTTAAAAATCAGTGAACAGACACAAGTAAAAGACAGAGTAAGAAATAGAATAGGCGGCGCAGCTTAGGGCACATTCTTGGAGTATGTGACATTTGGCAAGTCCCTGGCTCCATAGTGACCTGTCCAGACTTGCATGCTTCCTGGGATAGGGAGCTCACTACCTGTACCATCAACACCTCTGATTGGAAGCAAACTTTTTGTGTGCTGTAATAAACTGAAACACGCCTCCCTAAATCTCCAACCCCCTGGAACTGCCCAGGAAAAGCCCAGTCCTGTCCTACCCAATAGCCCTTGAGCTAATGTACCAGAATCACAGGGGTGCATATTAAAGAGTTATTACCCAGACTATAGAGACCCTCCACCCAGATGCCCTGAATCAACCACTCAGGGGGCCCTGGAACCAGTATTTCAAAACAAGATTCCCAGGTGATGCTGACACCTCTTAACATGTAAGATCCACTAAGACAAAGAAGGGGCTTTCTGAGGCCAAATGGCCCCGACTTCCACAAGCAAAAAAAATCATTTTAATTGTAGGGAGCACATGTAAGGCCTCGTTGGCAGAAGCCCTCCGAGCAGTGGTTTTAACCAGGGGCAGTTTTGCCCCCCAGGACACATTTGGCAACCCTGGAGACCTTTGTGGCTGTCACAGTCTGGGGATGACAGAGGGTGCTATGGGCACTTAGCGGGTAGAGCCCTGGGATGATACAAACCACAGCTCAGCCCCCACAACAATGATCAGGCCCCAGATGTCCACAGTGCCAGGTCGAGAAACCCTGCTGTGGAAAGAAAGGCTCACAAAGGCAGGTGTGGGCTCCTGGCTCCTCCCACTTAACACCTGAAAACTCCGCTATGCCCTGCCTGGCCCACTGTTAGCGTTCAGTAGAAACACCCTCTGGCTTCAAACTCTCCAGTGGCTTCTCCTATCACTCCAAATCGCTCAGGTCTCCACTGTCATCCACACAGTCCTTGCAGCCTGCCCCAGTGGACTCCTCCCTCCCACGATGAACCCCAGACTCCTACCCTTTGCATCTGCTGTTCCCTCTGCAGGGAATGCTCTTCCCATGGCTGGACCCCTGCCTCACAGTCAGTTCCAATGTCACCTCCTTGGAGAAGTCCCCTCCTCTCACCCTCCAGTTCAAAAAGTTACTCCCTCTCCCTCAGTCCTCTTATGCATCAACCTCGGTCTTTTTTTTAGTTGCTTTCAAGTTTGTCACCTGTCTTTCCTCCACCAGAGCATAAGCCCCTGGGCAATGGGGATTATTGTTTTGGGATTGTGGCTCCAGCATCTAGGACAATGTCTGGAAGAGGGGAGGTGCCCAGATGTCAAGTTGAAGGAACAGATGAGCCAGCTTCTGGCCAGGATGCAAGGGAATGAGAGTCGCTCAATCTTTTTCTGGAAACTGTGCTGGTGAAACACAGACCCTATACAGGCATATAGAAAAAGGTATTCAAGGGAAACTGCATAATGAACATTTGTATGCCTAACCTTGAATTGTACCCCACGTCTTTAAAATAAATTTATATAAATAAATAAATAAAAGCAGAACCAAGAAAAAAAGGTATTTATGGTAGCAGTGCTTCTAGAGGAAAAAAAATCCAATCAACCAACAAAAAACCCTGGACACAAAATAAATAAGTGTTACTAAAGGAATCAGTCAAATAAACGATGGGGTCTCCATGCTATGATACTCAGGTCACCTCTGGAAAGCAGAGTTAGTTCTGCAGCTATTGACATGTCTGTGGGTTCATTAAGTGAGAAAAGCAAGTTACACTTCAGCCCCTTCGTGGAAAAATAAATCAACACACATGGGTGTGGACGTGTCTGCCCAGAGTTTCCAGCCCAGGGAAGGCTGTGGAATGAGGCCAGGCTGGCGCCTGGAGGGTGTGGAGTGAGAATGAGACAGGGTATGAGAGTTCTTAATTTTATTTTTTCTGTTTCCTTGAATTGTTTCCCTGGGTGTAGTAACCTCGTCAAAAAAAAAGGGGGAATCTAATCTAGTCTGGATTATTTGTCTTTATTTCGAGGTAATCACAAAATGTAACTTTCAGTGCTTTTTAAAAACGGAGCAAGGGGCTCATGAAGGCAAAGCACCCCTAAAACTCAAACAGTGGCCCTGGAAGTGACTCGCCCAGGAGCATGGCTAGTGATGTGGAACCCAGGTTGGCCTTTCATCCGTGTGGCTGCAAACCCCTTCCTCTCTTCTGTGCCCACTGTTTGTGAGGGAAACTCCCTTAAGAAAAAACTGCAACCTTGTCTCAGCTGAGCAGAAAGGAAGATAAGGGCCACCCATTTGTCTGATGGGTAACTGGGGGGCTCTAGAACCTGGATGTCTGGGTGCAGCCTTTGGTGAGTCACTTAACGTCTCTGAGCCTCAGTTTCCTCATCTGTAAGATGATGGTGATGGTGATCACTACCCCAGAGTTATTGGGAAGTCAGTAAATGAGGCAGTTCTGACACAGTGTCCAGAACAGCACTGGCTTGATACACAGAAAAAATTCAATCCCTTCTTGGTCAGAAGGGAGTAAGGGACAGAGACTCTTCGGGGCTCTGACATCCCTTTAAGAAGGCACAGTCGTCAAACAAGGTGGCTTTCACCTATAATCCCAGCACTTTGGGAGGCCAAGGTGGGAAGATCGTTTGAACCCAAGAGTTCAAGACCAGCCTGAACAATCCAGCGAGATCCTGTCTCTACAAAAAGTTTAAAAATTAGCTGGCGTGGTGGCACATCCCTGGAATCCCAGCACCTTGAAGCAGGAGGAATGCTTTAACCCAGGAGTTCAAGACAAGCCTGGACAATATAGCAAGACCCTGTCTCTACAAAAAATTTTAAAAATGAACCGGGTGTGGTGGTGCATGCCTCTAATCCCAGCACTTTGGGAGGCTGAAGCAGGAGGACTGCTTGGGCCCAGGAGTTCAAGACAAGCCTGGGCAACAGAGCAAAAGCCCGTTCCCTACAAAATATTTTAAAAAATTAGCCGGCCCACCGACTCAGGAGGCTGAGCTGGGAAGATCGCTTGAGGTCAGGAATTTGAGGCTGCAATGAGTTATGATCATGCCACTGCACTCCAACCTGGGTGACAGAGTGAGACCCTATCTCAAAAACAGAAAAGAAAAGCCCTGTGGGCAGCAGAAGAAACAGCCCCACAATCTTTCACTCACACACACTTCCTGTCCTCTAAGGCCCCAACCCCACCAGAGCCCTCTATGGGCCAGGCACAGCTCCGAGGAACAGCAAGAAGCCAGGGAATTGGGGGTCCCCAGACTAGGAGAAGAGCTGGGCGAGAAGCCAGTGGTTCTGCTAGGGCCTGGCCCACCTGTGCAGATGTACACGGACTTTGGAAGGAGCCTCTCAGGTGCACCCACACTCATGTACCCACCAGACAGAGTTGCACACAAATGCTGAGACACAGGCGCGTGCGTGTGAAAGGGGACACAGACAAGCAAGGACAAGGGGACACCACATGCCACACGTACAGAGACCTGGAGAGATATCCCACAGAGACCCGGAGAGACACACCCGCAGAGAACTACAGAGATACACCCCACAGAGACCCAAGAGGCATATGCCACAGATACCGAGAATGAAGAAGTGTGCGTGTGGATGTGAAGAAGCAGCACAAAGACAGGCAAGGACAAGGCCACGGTGGGCTGCCACATGCCACAGGCACAGAGACCCGGAGAGACACATGTTGCAGAGATCGGGAGATAAAGGCTCCAAAGAGACCCGGCGAGACATCCCACGGAGACTGGGAGAGACACCCTGCAGAAGCCAAGACTCTGGAGTGTGCACGTGCATGTAAAAGAGCACACAGACAGGCAAGGACAAGGCCACAGGGGGCTGCCACATGCCACATGCACAGAGACCCAGAGAGGCCCACCCTGAAGAGATCCAGTGTGCATGTGGATGTGAAGGAGGAGCACAAAGACAGGCAAGGACAAGGCCACGGGGAGCTGCCACATGCCACGCGCACAGAGACCCGGAGGGACATGCCGCAGAGATCCGGAGAGACATCCCACGGAGACCAGGAGAGACACCCCGCAGAGACCAAGACTCTGGAGTGTGCACGTGCGCAGGAAGGAGCACACAGGCAAGGACAGGGCCAGAGGGTCCCACGCCAACGCACAGCCAC